GGACCAATTGTTTCCTTAATTTTTTTCTTGTTTTTAACATGATGGAAGAAGCTTTTTTTGTCATTTTTTACTTTTGTGGCAAGCCTTTCTTCATTGTGAGCCTTAGCTTTCCTCACTTCATCTTTACATGCTCAGGCTATTAGTAGCACAGTGTTATAGTTCAGAGCTATTCAAGTCACAATCCTTATATAGCAAAGAAGGTGGCACCTCTACAGCTAACACAAGATATCAGATATCAATATCATCTGATATCAATATCAGAAGCAACTCAGAACTACCCATCCTAGATATCCTCAAAGCACAGGATAATATATGTGCATGGCAAGAGGAAAGAAGCCTCTTCAGATATAACATCCTCTTGACACTGTCTTTCCACTAAGCCAAGGGTGGGTTCTGGCAGGCACTACTGCCAGTTCGCTCATATGAATGCCATGCGTGCTGCGTGCTGTGCGCACATGCACAGTGCAATTAAAATTGTTCTGCGCATACGCAGAACCAAAAAACAAGATGGTGGTGCCTATGGTGCCACTGGGAGAAACAGTTTAGGGGCATGGCAGGCCTGGGTCGCTGCCGGTTCCAGTGACCCAGGCCACCAAACCACTACCGGTTCGGCTGAACCAGTCCGAACCGGTAGGAACCCACCACTGCACTAAGCCATATATATCATTACAACTGCACATACCTTCTTAGCATATCTGATGCTAAATTTCATGGCGAAGGAACATGCTGACTTTTATGGTCCATCTTAAGTCGTAGATTGAAGGGGAGAATGATCAAAAAGATCAAATACTAGGGATTGAAAGTAAACGCTGTCAGCGACTTGATATTTCTTAAAATACTGTATTGCCTTGGACTCTAAAGTGTCATAAATCTGTCAGGCAAAAATACTGTTGTGAATAATGTTTGAGTTCAGATGAAATAAAATTCTTACTGGTAATTTATAGAGCAGAACAATGTTTGATATCACAATTTAGCAAGGTCTCAGGTTTTGGGGAAAACTTCACAGCAAAGACTTAATATGAAGTGCTTACATTTTAGGTCAAAGGCCAAAGCTTGCAATATTGGAAGGTTAACCCTGTCCAAAAATGCATTTCTTGGGGCCATAAATATTGGAAGTTGTCAACCTCAGCCAAATACAATTATCACCAATCAGTCCAACTTTCCAGCACAATGTTGTTCTTTAAATAGACCTGGTTATGCCAGGTGTTTCTCACATATGAGTGTGGAGGTGGCATTACTGATGTGTGTGTATGTGTGTGCATGTCTGTCTATCTGTCTTGTCTGTCCCAAAAGTGCTTTTTCAAGAGGCGACTGGAATTTCTGGTTTTTCTTTTGAAGACGTTTTGCTTCTCATCCAAGAAGCTGAAGAAGAAGAACCATGGCCTGGATGACTGAGACATAGTCGTCTGTCTGTCTGACTGTCTGTCTATAATACATCTTTTATTCAATATTTTGTTTCTGGTCTCAGGGCTGTAATAAAATTTGATCTGAATTTCATCTAATCTGTGTAACAGAAACATTTCTGCTCCCACTCTTATCCTAGGCTGTCTGGTTCTCTACCTGGGTAATGGTGGTCTTTGTGCAGAATGGGTGGACATTCTCCAATTTAAAGTCTGAGTCACAATGTCTAAGGTCAAGATTGGTGGACTTTGATTACCTCTCCATTGTTTTTTGGACCAGGGGTCTTTGGGATTCCTATAGTGACATACTTTGATGATCATCCTTGCCTGAGGATGAGTTCTCAGCCAGAAGTATCTCTTCACATTTTAAGCTTAGAGTTAAACGCAGTCAGCTGTAGGAAAAGCCACTATCTACCCGTTTGCTGTGCAATTATAATTATATCTACTTCTAAGATAACTTATCATTGTGACTTTGAGATCAATATCCAAAACTCCCTTGGTGGTCAAGCAGTGAAAAACATACATAAATATTATTGTTTTATTATTAACAATGGATTTACTATAAACACCCCTGCAATCAATTCAAAGCACCAAACTGCTTTTCTCCTGAATATCCTGAATCCTTTATATCATTTATATGGTGGTGTATCATACCACCCCAGGGGCTTTTGTCTCTAGACATTTTCCTTTCAACTTTTCTTTTTATTTTATTTTCTCTTGAAGAGCCTTAATCTCTTTACTTTTCCCACCCATACAATACACTATGATAATAACACTTCCTTTATCTCTACTTTTCATTATCTTTATCTTTAATCGTGTTGAAAGATGATTAACAATCAGATGAACATTATATGCTGTGTTGGGAAGCAGACACTTCATGGGAAATCATGCAAAGAGAGATGCTTTTATCTTAGGGAATAAAATTCCTTTGTGAAGCTGCTGTAATTTTATCATTAGGAAGCCATAGGTCGATACCAAGCAATTAAGAATGTGAGAACACAAGCAGATCAAACCAAAAGCCTTTCTGTTCTAGCATTCCATTCTCAAATTGGCCAGCCATATGTCTTGTGTCAGTGAAAGCTCAAGTGCAGGACATAAATTAACTAGCACTTCTGAATCCCTTTCTCTAAAATTACTGTTGGCAGGCAGATATTACTGAACATTGTGTGACAGGCGAGAACCTGTCTTTGCTTAGTTCCTGCCTACTTAGCAGTTCAAAACCACACAAATGCAAGTAGATAAATAGGTACCACTACAGTGGGGAGGAAACAACACTCCCTCATGCTGGTCTCATGACCATGGAAATATCTTTGGACAGTGCTGCTTCATGGCCTCGAGATGAGTGCCACCCCCTATAATCAGTAATGACTAGTAGAGTAAAATCCACAGGGACTCATTCACCAAAATTACTATTGGCAGACAGATATTACACACAATACATAATCCAGAAATCATTGGCTTTGTCAGACTTCAGCTGGGAATGTCACAAATGGCAATCACATGACCCCAGGATGCTGCAAACATCATAAATATATGCCAGTCACCAAGAGCCCGAATCCTGATCACATGTCTGTAAAGATATTGCAATGGTTGTAAGTATAAAAACCAGTTGTAAATCACTTTTTTAAATGCTGTTGTAACTTTGAATGGTCACTAAGTGAATGGTTGTAAGTCAAGGTTTAACTACAGGTGTTTTTCTTTAAAAATGCTAAATATCTCTTCTATATGTTTTACCTTCCCAGTCTGATCTTTTTGTGGGGCATCAGATTTCTCTGATGGTCTGTTTACACTTGACAATTAACTGCGCAATCCAAAACACTGCTATCTCTATCTCGTAAGGATAATTCAATCAACAAGTAGCTCCCACCTATTATTTGTCAATATGTATTTGTTTTTGTATTAATTTAACACATTTGAAGGCCACCCACTTGGAATGACTGCAGATGGTGTACAGATTCAAAACATAAAAATTCGATCAAAATCAAAAACATATGGATATTGAACCCATAACTTCTCTTAACCCAACTACTAGGCAAAAAGGGTTCAGCTAAAATGAAGAGTGGTAAAGACTGCTCATATCTCTGGGAAGATGCTATTCCAGTAGCAGGTAATACAATGTATCAGATGACATTGCTTGATAGATGTGATCTGAACCATGCTGACTCTACCTATCACAGGATGGCCGGAGATCATAGGAGCAAGATAGTCCTACAGATAACAGACCTTTATGCCATAGAAGTCTTTAGAGGTGACAAGCAGCATCTTGAATTATAATTAGAAGCCTTATGGTACACACTGTGAAGCAGCGATGGTACATGAACACATAGTGGCATGCCCATAATGGTTCAAACAATCACATTCTGGACCACATAAAACTGCTAAAGGGTCTTCATAGGCAGCCTCCATGTTACTGAGACATATCGGCACTAGAGCAATGCCATTTTTAATTCTTTCAAGCATTTAAAAAAAAATTCAGTGCTTTTACTATGTTGCACTATATTTTCTTATTATGGTTATTATCACTAATATTGCTTATTTTACATTTACATCACCATTTTTCTCTATTGTACTCTTTTGACTTTGTTGTTGTTGCTGGTGTGTGTGTGTGTTTGTGTGTGTGTGTGTGTATTTGGCAGTATTTATCTAAATCTAAAAGTTTGAATCAAGAATAGGCAGCAAAGCTGCATTTGGGAATAGAATCTATAGAAAATCCTACTCTACTTAATATTTTAGATGGGAACATGGTAAGAGATGGCAATTTAAAATGCTCAAGTTATTGATAAATAACTGTATGAAGCTGAAGAAGTAACTCTCCTATGACAGCAGGATTGGAAGATTAGAATTATTGCTTCCTTCCTCTATATGGAGATTTTCAGTCATCAAAGTTATGGTTGTCCCAAAGGTGTTTTTTCAGAAGGCAACTGGACTTTCTTGTTTTTTCTTTGAAGACATTTCACTTCTCATCCCTACCATCCAGTCAGAGCTGAAGAAGCTTATTGGATGAGAAGTAAAATACCTTCAAAGAAAAAACAAGAATGTCCAGTTGCCTCCTGAAAAAACACCATGGGTATTCCTTCCTTCCTTCCTTCTTTCCTTCCTTCCTTCCTTCCTTCCTTCCTTCCTTCCTTCCTTCCTTCCTATCTTCCTTCTCCCCAAAGATTGCTAAGCTTACATATCAGTTTTGTTTACTCACTTTGGAGACTCTTAATGTTTTTCATGAAGTCTGTTTCTTCATCTGTCATTTTGTCATCAACCATTTGTCTTATCTCTATTCCAGAGGCTGTGGGAGAGGGGCACTGCTTACTTTCACAATTATTCTCCTTTTCAAGCAATTCTTACCTTTATTTTCCTCTTGCAGTTTGTTGCCCATCCCAACTGTCAGCAACAATTGCTCACCATGTGGTATGAGAACCTCTCAGGCTTACGCCAGCAGTCAATTGCTGTGAAATTCTTGGCTGTCTTCGGAGTTTCCATAGGCCTTCCATTCCTCGCCATAGCGTACTGGATAGCTCCCTGCAGTAAGGTACAGATTGGTTAAGGTGCATGTTTGTTTATCATTATTTATCTATATCCCTGGCTTGATGCAAATGACAAGATCTTCAGTTCAATCAAAAATAAACGTTGTTGTATTAAGGTGCAACAGGCTTTTCAGTGGGTGAGCACAGTTTAGGCACAAATTAAGGAACCGCAAAATAGTTTTTAAAAGATAGGTAGAAAGACAAAAATAGAAAAAGTAAAGGGGGGTGCTATTTCTAGTTTTATTATTTATTAAGCATCATATGTGTAAGCAAATGTCTTTACAGGATTGAGAAGTATTAACTGGGAAACCTTTAATTTAGTTCAATTCAGTTGAAAGTTTTAAACAGGATTTGAAGATTGAGAATTTCTCATTTAATTTCTGATTGTTTTCAGAGGGACTACAGTCAAATTTGTAAAGAAGCCAAATCTTACAGTCAGAGCTTACTGTGTCAAATAGCTTGAACAATTGTTATGAAGTGGGAAGAGCTGATTGAAACAACTAGTACAGTAGAACCTCCAGTCATGGCCATAATTTGTTCCATAACTTTGGTCGCAAACCGATTTGGTCATGACCCGAACCTAATTTTGGAAACTTGGCGCTTATTAAAAAAAATGGTGCAAAAGGGGAAATTGGCTGCAGGGAAAAAAATATGAATTTTTTGGTCAGAACATGATTTGGTCATGGTCAGAAGTGTTCATGACCAGAGGTTCTACTGCATTACAGTAAAATTACTGGCTTTAATTTTCTATTTCGGCCACTAACCAAAAGTAAAGATGTGTCATAAAATAGGTGTTTTTTTTAAAAAAAAACTCCTTTTACATAAATAATGAACTTCTCTGATCTTGCATGGTCAGTCTGCATATTGCAAATATGAGACAAAGCTTTGTGGAGGCCTTTGAACTAGAGGCATGGGTTCCATCTTGTGTAGGTTTAAATAAATATCCCAATTGCCTCATTTTAACTTGGATTTCTGATTCATTCTAATGCCGTTCTCAGTCCTATTTTAAATGTACCATGAATGACAACTTAATGTTATCAAGGCTCCCCTATTTTGGTGTGTATCTGTGTGAGTCTTTGAGTTGTTGTTAACTCCACAGGACTGCTTGGACTAGCAATTTTCCTTCCATTTTCAAGAATACAAAAGTAGTTTGCCATTGCCTGATTTCAGGACTTAGAGAGAGTTGCTGGCACCTCTTAGGTCACCCAGCTGACATTATGCCTATGGCAGAACTAGAACTCACATTTTCTAGCCTGGTGCCATAATCATTATACCAAATTGGTGTACACACTCTTTTCCTCTTTTTTTAACCCATTTCTAGGCTATAAAAATCTCCCTATGAGCACTACATTGCCATAGGCAAGTACATTCTTGACTTCCAGGAGAGAAAACAGAATAATAGAGCAATAATTCCTAGCCTAGAAAAATATCAGCCCTGATTCTAACGATCCGGGAGATTTCAGAGTCAAAAAGAACAAGGTACAATTTAGGCTTACATGCCAAGATCTGAGACAACCAAAATTCAAGTTGAGATTCTTCAAGATTCAATTAAAAAACATTCTTCCATAGGTTATTTTGGATAAGGAACAAAATATCTATACAAACTGTTCTATTTGGGGGTAGAATTGGATGAAATTAACCAGGAAGGTAAACTCTTTAGAGCAGGGGTGTCAAACTCAATTTCACTGAGGGCTACATCAGGGTTGTGTTTGAACTCGGGGATGGGGGGGCAGGGGCGTGGCCAGGGTGGGTGTGGTCAGCTCGATGTCACTCACTCCATTTTTGGCTGTGACGGCCTCCTGCAGCCCTCTGCCAGCTAAAAAGAAGCCAGGGAAGCACACGTGGCCTTCTCAGGCTCCGTTTTCACTGGCAGAGGCACTGTAGGGTGGTCCTTCATTGATTCCAGGGCAGCCCACAAGTCTTGAGTTTGACCCCACTGCTTTAGAGGGACTTAACATTGCTCAATTCCAACAGACTCCTTCCAATGGTTTGACTGTAATTTTTAAAATGATATTCCTTTTAAGACAGAGGTAGCAGGGATGTGATCTGGGTGGTATAGCAACCTCCATATTGTCTGCTAAAGAGCCTAGATTGTCTGAAATGAATTCACAATTATCTTAATCTGTTTACATTAATGTTTACAGTTGTTTACAAACTCAGATTTGAGCCACGAAATTTGCAAAATGCTTAGAAAGGCTGCAGAATTCTTTGAAAGTCGCCGAGTTGCTTTCCTTACTTTGAAGTACGAATCTGTTTCAAAGGAGTGATTTCACCAAAGCTTCATCAAATTGTAGCACTCCTTCAAAGCTGGGGCTGGTTAAGGGGAGCTGTGACCTTTGAACACATTAAAAAGCCATCCTCAGAGACACCATGAGGCTTTTGAACTGACACTGAACGACATTTAACTCTTTTGAAAGTTGCTCCTAAACAGCTGGTATTTCTGAAAGTAACTAAAATAATTGGTTTCTCTCATTTTCTTTCTTTTGGATAGGGGAAATTCCACCACCAGAAAGCCACATCTTCTTTTTAGCATTCATTAAGAGTTTTTCTTCCCAAAGCCTAACTTCTAAAATCTAACTCGAAGAATACAGGGTCTTTCAGTAAATAACCTACACGCAATATCATACAAATTTTAAATTTTAACCTCGCTTTAATCCAGGCGGTAGAGATATTTCCAAAAGCTCTTCCTGTGTGGCTTAGCTCTGGCTTTAGATACTAGTAATCCTGTTTTTAAAAGGTAATAATTTTGCCAAATGTCCCTATTGTTATATAAACTAAGGCCAGCACAGCTACCTGTGCCTTTCTTGATGTTGAAGCACTTTCTACTAGAACACCGGTGTCAAACTTGCTGTGTCACATAGATGTCACATGATGTTTTGCAACGTTTTCCCATTCATGAAGTTTGGGTGGGCCTGCACATGATGCATCTGGCTCACAGGCCATCAGTTAGACACCCCTGCAGTAGAAAATGACTTTCCTTCGCTTTCCGCCATACTCAGTTCACTACCATTCTTTCCACACTAACAGATGAGATCTGGATTACTTCTTTACTATTACTTTTTAAGAACTGGGATGGCTCAGCAATTAAAGATATTGAGCTCGTCAGCTGGCAAGCTGGCAGCCCAGGTTTGAGACCCAAGGGCTGCATGACAGGGTGAGCTCCAGAGGTGGTGTTTAGCTGGTTCTGACCAGTTCTGACAAACCAGTAGCAGAAATTTTGAGTAGTTCAGAAAACTTGCAAATACCATTTCTGGCTGGTCCTGCCCCTATACTCTGCCTCCCAAGTCCCAGCTGATAGGTTGGGTCTTCTTTTGTTGCCCTGCACAGGAGAACAGAGCTGGAAAGCAGGTTAGTGGGGTGGGAAGGGAATGGGGATTTTGCAGTAACCTTCCCCCAGGAGTGGGATTTTGCAGTATCCTTCCCCCTGGAATGGGGAGGGAATGGAGATTTTGCAGTATCCTTCCCCTGCCATGCCCACCCAGCCACACCCACAGAACTGATAGTAATTTTTTTTAATCCCACCACTGGTGAGCTCCTGTTACTTGCCCCAGTTCCTGCCGATCTAGCATGCAAATGCCACTGGATGAATGGGTACCATTTTGGTGGGAAGGTAACACTGTTCTGTGTGCCTTGATGTATAATCATGCTGGCCACATGGCCATTGAACGGTCTTCAGACAATGCTGGCTCCCTCAGCTAAGAAACATAGATGAGCATGCCCCACTAGAGTTAGATATGACTGGACAGGGAAAACCTTTATCTTTATTACTTTTTACAATTGCATCATGCATTATATTTAAAAGACCACTTATATCTGAAGGCATCAGTGATGGTGGATTTATAAAATACTAGAGTATGTTTTCCCAACTATTTTACCTTCCTAGAATTTTACCTCTGTCATCAATTTCTGTATCTGACAACAATGCTAATCAAATACACAGATGATGTGCATCTCCAATCCCACTCACAGTTTAAAAACCAGGACCTTGGAAAGAACAACCTTCCTATTTTAGGAGAGGATGTTGAAAAAGTTTCAGCTGAAGCATTAACATCTTCACGTTAATCCCTCTTTCATAGTCTCTTCTTCTCTCAACTTGATTCAAAAATGCTGAGAATCTGCATTATTTATAGCTATCAATGACATTTTGAAATGAAACTTTGAAAGCTATCATTCCAAGAAATGCTTGGAAATAAAATATTGATGCAATGTTGATTGAATATGAAATTTTGACATGGGGCAGAGAAAGGAAATTTTATTAAAAAGAATTCATTTGCTTTTATGTTCACTCAAGATTTTTTTTTTAATTCCAGTAACAGTGAATCTCTCTGCTGAGGGCAGGTTGAGTTTCTATTAATTTAGTAGCCCAATCCATAGACGTTTCATTTCCAAGGTAGGCACTTAGACAACTTTTATCAATATTAGAAAAAAATATGAAAGCAAACATTGTATTCCATTCCTACACTGTTTGCAGAAAATAATGTTACTTTAAAATAAAAAGTCTTTACTTTTTATTGGTGAGGGAGCATTTTTGCATTCTTATATACTGTAGCTGCAAATATCAAGTAGGAAGATGGAGTCAATTGCTCTTACTAGATCCCTGTCTGCTTCTTCTCAGGATCAAGAATTACCTCCTGCCCTCCCTACCTCCCTGAGTCCCATTAGCCAACTGAGACTCTATGGGAATTTTTTAGACATCCAAGTATCAGTTTTGGGGTCCTCTGATTCTTTTCCTTTTAAAGTAGCTCACTCCTTGCTGGGTTAGATGTGAATGTTCCTGTTTTAGCTAGCTTTTGGTAAGAGTTGGCAGGTAACACAAGTATCCAGTTGGACAATTATTAATGGTTAATTGGATAATAACTTATTAAACATACTGAGGTAACCTATCTATGGATCGGAGAATAATTTACCCAAATTTAGTCTCATTTACAGCTGGGTTAAGAGATCAAAAAGTCTAGGAAGATGCTTTATCCCCAATATGCTTTAATCCACTGAATGCTGATGGGTAGGACAAATAGGAATCACTTAATTTATGATCTTGCCAGACAAACTATGAAATGTCAGGAAGTTAGTTTTGTATATCACAGTAGTTTTGCCCACTTGAAAGAAAATGGTCTTGGAAAATTCCAACAAATCAGTAGGAATTAGACATATCAATTAAGTTTCAGAATGCACAAAAATTGAAATATTCATTTCAATTCTTTTTTTAACAATTATTTTTAAAAAAACCCACACTGCCTGAATGTTATGAAAAAATATGGCTGTATATCTTCTATCATCAGATTACCATCATTATAAATAACATCCAGGTTCCTTCTTTTAATTATTATAGGGGTTTTATTTTTATTTTACAAAGCTTTGCTGAACCAACACATCTAGTGGGGTAAGGGGAGATCAGGTGTGAGATTTTACCCATTGTAGAGTGACAAAGAATATTTGAAAAATATGTTATGCATTTCTTTGAATGGACAATTGTCCACCCTAACCCTAACCTTATCAAATTCAAATGATCTGCACATAATGCCCATGTTTTCTAAACTTTTCTTAACATCTTTCTATAAATAGTCTGAGCATATCCAAACATATATTTTCCTGTTGTATGAAAATGCAAAGTGTTATTCTGACACTTTGTGAACTTGCTAAGCAAGCTTTATACAAATTGAATTTCAGACTTAACTAATGTGTTTTTCTATTTAGCATTAAAAAGAACTAAGGACTTCAAAGTTGTTCTCTGTATATATGTTTAAAGTGAGTACAGAGACATTAAAATAATTAGGACAAAAATGTTGTTTCTTTAAATATAAGAACACTCTATACTTTTAATGTCACCCAGTTTATTGAAAACTCTCCCCAGAGCTAACAAACAGTTTTTTAAAAACTCTTTGTGAGCAATGGTAGTTCCTTATTGTATCATTCGAGAAGGTTTTTTTTCCCCCAGATGAACATTTCCCAAAGTTCCTTCTCTTGATATGAAACATTGGGCAAGAACATAAGGCCAAAATGAAGCTATAGAGAACTCTCTTATATATAACACAAGGAATACAATCAGATTTAACAATGAAAAAGATACAGATACATACAAATATACAGAGAAGCATCATTTTCAGGCCATCAGAGAAATTTTGAGTTGTATGTAGTTTTATCAAAAAGTATCATAAGAGAGCCATGAAAGAGGCCTTTATTTCATTTCTCAGCTACTCACTTGGAATTTAATTGGATGAAAATAATAGAAATGCTTTTATTCTTGGGAACCTTAAAGTTATCTTATTCTTTAGCCTATCAACATTTTTCCACGTTAGAAACACTTTACAATTCTTAACCATATTGATTTAAATTTTAAACCCTCTGACATATGTCTTGAGTATTTAAGATAAAATGGCTTGTAAGTGAAATGCCTAAGCCAAGTGAAAGCTTGGTTTTGACTTTTAAATAAATAAAAGCTAGGAACTTTGAAAAAGAGAAAAGGACAGGGGGAAATAAAGAACTTATGGTTATTTTTGCTTTCAGCTGGGACGTACACTCCGGAGCCCCTTTATGAAGTTTGTGGCACATGCTGTTTCTTTTACAATTTTTCTTGGACTGCTAGTAGTGAATGCATCCGACAGATTTGAAGGTGTAAAGCTGCTTCCCAATGAAACTGCCATGGATCACCCCAAGCAAATATTTAGAGTGAAAACAACACAATTTTCATGGACAGAAATGCTAATCATGAAATGGGTTTTAGGTAAGTGGAATTGAAATTGTTTCCTTTTACTATGGTATACGAGCTATCCACAGATCTACTGAAGAGCTGCAAATTTGTTTGACTATAATAACTTGTGGATCCAGCTTTTCTCCCTCCCTCTCCCATAGGCACTGTTTGGAGGAGCCAAAAATACCCATCTACCTTAATTAGGGGGAAAAGGCTATATTGCTATGGTTGTGATATGTCTTATAGTGCTTCATTCTGTGCACGAATCCTGCCAAATTTTATGGTAAAAACTTGATGGTAAAACTTATGATTAAAAAATCTATATTGTAATATTAGATAGAAAACCTGAGCTGAAGGCTCAATGAAGCTGAACTGACTTACTCAGAAATCCCCTTTTGGTTGCTGCTACTTTTGCTATTTTATTATTCCGAACTAAGAGAGTCGCAAGAAAAATAATCCTCTACATGGGTTTGCCTACTGCAGCCACCTGTCATGAAGAACATTCAGACCAGATGTTTCCTTTCAAATACTGCGATGTATTTTTGAATGCTATTAGCTAGGTTGGAATAAGCTCCAACTGGTTATGTCACTGTGATGGTCTCCTGATCTGAACTGTTCACACGAAGTAGCATTAAGAAATTATCTCATACATTTCAACAGGGAGGAGGAACAAGTAGCTTCCAGATGTGATGAATTACAATTCCCAGCAGCCCCATCCAGCATAGCCAATTGCTATGAGATGTAACTCAACATTTGGAAGTCCACATGCTACCCTCTGCTGCTCTAAATTGAGGATTATTTTTCAAGGACTAACACTAACCTTGCTCCAACTATTAGATACACAAACAGAAAACTAAAGAAAACAATACATTTGTGAAGCTACCAGTTAAACAGAAGTGAGATATTATATTTTAACAGAATGAAGAATTGACAAGCCTTAAAAATGTGAATAGCAATGCAGATTATTTATAATTTTAAAAAATCAAATTAAAATGTCTTCAGGAAATATATTATTTAGAGAAAACTCTTTTATTGGCTGTAACCACAATATACAGAATATATTATTTTTTGTCTCTAAGTCAAATTATATTCCTCTTCTTTACAGAGGATATAAGCAGTATATTCTTGCTGTATTTTTTTATTATACTGAAATGAATTAAAAGTGATTTTCTGAAGCAATTTTTTCAGAACCGAACAGAATGAAATAAACTTGAATGAGAAATGCATTTTTGGTGTGTAACGTCTCTTTTGATCATAAAACATTTCAGCACTGTAAAGTTTGCAGGGAGCGAACAGTAAATAACTACAAGGAAGCGTGCCCAATCTGAACTAGAGTCTTAATCCAAAACTTTAGAAATGGCTCAAAAAGTGATCCAGGTAATTCCAGAGATAATGCAATCCCATCATTTAGCCAAATCAGAGCAAGGTTTAGAAAACAGAACTCTATTATTTCATAATCTTCAATGGAAGGAAACATAATTGACTGTAAATTTTGGTAGAATTTATAAGCAAGCTTAATTGTTATGAAAGATAATGTGTATCTGGAGTTTTAAGCAGCCATTTGGGACACTGAAGTTATTGATTTTGCCATGAACCTTATTCTTATAAATACTAAATTTGAGACATTGTATTGAGCAATGTGTGTGCACAAGGATGCTTATTCCCAATTGTGAGGAAGCTACCTGAGGCAGAAATATAAAACATTAATTTATTGGGTCTTTTCCATAAAAGAAACTAATAAAGTTTAAGTCAGCTAAGTAATAATCCTCCCAAAATATCAAATAGTTGCTAAGAATAAGACACTGGTCAACGATGAATAAATTCAAAGATCTTTCTCAGACAACACTCCAGAGAGTTGTTCTACCATAATCCTTCAAACGGTGGGAGTGATGACTTTTTCAAAATGACCGTTCTTATTTTTTCTTTGGACATGGTTGGCAGAGCTCTGGGACAAAAAAAAAGCTTATTAGTGGCTCAGTACCAGATGGGAGAAAATTCAGACTTGAACAAATGTTTGTTCTGAATTATCTACTGCAGCTCATCAGCTGATCTTGAAAGAACTTCTTGTATGTTCCAAATAATTCCACTGCTAGGAAGAATCAGGGAATAATTTGAAGGTAGCATAGTGGAAAGAGGCCGAGCTACAAATCCCTGCCATGGCTGCATCAAGTAAATATGAGTTAACCACTCTCAACCTCAGTCCCCAGGATGAACTAAAGTATGGGAAATAATGATGACTTGAGGAGTCCTTGGTGGTCTCTGAGCTTGCAGATGTTTTATTACCCAAACGAGGTAACATCATCAGTTCTAGTTGAACATCATTAGCACTGGTGATGTTAATTCATTTGGGTAATGAAACATCTGCAAGGACACAACCAAGATCAGTGAGTACCCAAGACCCCTCATTTCAATCTTGAGTTACTAATATTTCCCTTTGTTGATAACACTGACTTATTTTACAGTAGATGTGATGGCCCTTCCTAAAGAATTAAAGCCTGTCTGCAATGACCTTCATTTGACAGGAAAGGATAGATACATTTTTGGAGAAAACTTTCAAAATGTAAATAAAGCCCTCCAAAGTTGAAATGATGTCTCTCTTTCTAAACCATCATTTCTTTCAATTGTGAAACACCAGTAGAGCCTAGAGCATTCAACTGGAGATACTGTGGCTTCTTGTCACCATTGTAATAAAAGATAACAGACCAGAGTTTGAAAATAAATAACATGGGAGCAGTTGGAGATATATAGAGAAACAATAACAATGGCTATTATTTAAACACAAAACTGCTGATTATGTATGATAATATAACTACATAAAATAGAACAGGTGACAAAATAATAAGCAGGATAATGAGATTACTGATATGATACAAATGGCAATGCTTATTATAATGCAGAAAATAGTATTATCTGCCCTATTTGCACCTTAGCCGCCCTATTATTGACATACATATTCCTGGTTTTTATGACAATTGTCAATCTTGAATGCAACCCCAATATATCTTACTGCATTCATGATACTGAATATCCTTTTCAGGATTTTCAGAGTTTTGTAACAGCTTCTGGGACATAATATAGATTGATCTTGCTGCTATATTTTGCATTCTAAGAAGATTCATGTTGAAGTGAGGCAGTGGTGGGTTTCCAATTTTTTTACTACCAATTCGCTCACTCATGCACATGCACACACTTGCGCGCAATGCTTCTGCACATGCATCCGGGCGGGTGGGCGAAGTCTCCCGCCATTGCCACTACCGGTTCATCCAATCCAGAACGAACTGAGAGTAACCCACCTCTGAAGTGAGGATCCAAGGAATGTTATTTTTATTACTGGGTTGATCTGGGAAGAAAAGCAAGTAGAAAGTCAATGTAGTGTAATAGAGTGATTAGAAGAACAAAGAGGTATTCAAATCCCAACTCAATCCTGAAGCTTATTGGGTGATTTAAAGTGTCTATAATTCTAACTTTTGCATAAGTTTGTTAGGTCAAAATAAAAAGAATCATATCTGCTGTTGGAAAAGAGACTGAAAGTACAAAAGGAATAAAATGTGTGTGTGTGTATTTAATGCCACATTTAATATTGATATATACAACGTATGGTGGAAAAGCTGAAGGAAGAAATTATCTGAGATATTACTCATTGTGTGCTGATTGTGTTTGTGTACCACTGTAGGAATGATATGGTCTGAATGCAAAGAAATTTGGGAAGAAGGCCCCCGTGAATATGTCATGCATCTTTGGAACTTGTTGGATTTTGGGATGCTGTCTATTTTTGTAGCTTCCTTTACTGCCAGATTCATGGCTTTTCTCAAAGCCACCGAAGCACAACAATATGTGGATCTCTTTGTCCCAGACAATGACCTCATTAATGTCACCCTTCCTCCTCAGGTTGCCTACTTCACATACGGTAAGAAAGTGTTCCTTCTTAATTATTTTCAAACATGGCAAAATTATGATGATGATGATTAAAATTATGATGATCTTCATGCAGCCAGCCAGATGTTTAGACTGGATTTAGTATTTTTATCCACCTATTGTCTGTTTCTTCAATTCAACTGCTCTGAGCCGTTGCCAGGTCGTCTGGTTATTGTATCTGCTTTGCCTTGTGTGGTTTTGTGTGTTTGTTTGTGGGCGTGTGTGTGTGTGTGTGTGTGTATGTGTGTGTATTCATGTACACATATATGTGCGTACATGTACTAGCCATGTAATGCTTTGCCTTGCCATGTCTTTTTTCTACTCATCATTTGATCTTTCTTGTAGGCCACTTGGTCTCATCAGCATTCAGTAAGCCTTCAGGGTGTACCAGCTGCAATGTACCTTCTTCACTGTCCTTCAGATATTCTTCCAATGCCCTTTTTTTATTTTTCAGCCATCTAATATACTTGCAACATTCCACACCCAACAATGCTCCTTAATAAGTTGTCAGTGTTGTTATATGGGGGAAGGGCATGTTTCATTCTCATTATTCTTCTGGTCTTCCTCTCTAGGGCTTCTAATATGCTTGAATCCAATCCACTATTCCAACAGTGTACCCTATGACTACAATTACCCAGTTATTAACTGCCTTGATGATATTTCCTCCACTGAGTTTGAATTTTAAAATCTTCTTCACTCTCATGATGTATTCGCTTCGAACCTTCTTCTTGACTTCAGTGTGCTTGATATTGTCAGCTTGAAAGATGCCTATGTATTTGTAGTGATTGTCTTCATCCTGACTTGATGTTATTTCTATAGGACATATGGATTCCTTCAGTTTTCCCTACCCTTTTCTCTAAAGATTGTAAGAGTGGCACATTTGTCCAGTCCAAACTTCATTGCAACATCTTGGCTCTGTATATGAGGCTGTGTTGAGTAGTGATTCTATTTCAGATGGTATCTTTCCATACAGCTCCAGATTGTCCATGTAAAGGAGGTGAGAGATAGCCTGGAAGATGTTTTTGATGTTTGAGAGCCATGGCCTGGTTTGTTTGGTATTATTGACACAGAAATTAATGCAATGCAAACCAGTCAGGCTAATAGTGAGTCTCATTGAAAGATTCCTCTTAGGATATTAACCTCTCCCAATTTATTGCCGTTGGCCAGTAGCTGTGTCTTTTACCATTGTGTCATTGATCTTTGCACAAAGCTTCTGATGTTTCTATTGACTCTTGTTATTTTTAGGCACTTAATTATTGAACCACATGGCAGGGAGTTGATTGCTTTATTGTATCCAATCCAAATTACATTAAAGTTGGTCTTCCTTCTCTTGCAGTTTTCCAAAATCATCTTGACAATTAGAAGTTGATCTTTTGTTGCTCTGCTATTTGGACAATTTCTTTTTTTGCTCAGATGGAAAAAGCTTATTTTCTGTTGGACTGCATCATCTACTACACTTGTTAGCAATTTTAAAATTTTTGGTAAGCAGGTAATTATCCTGTAGTTGCCTGATGCTGCCCCTTTTTCTGGCTCTTTCATTATCAGGTAGATCTTGCTAGATGTTAGCCAATCTTCAATTTCACTTCAATTCCAGTATGTTGTTAAGCTGTTTGGCAATGAAGTTGCCGGTTAGAAGTTTCAACCAAATCCATGCAGTTCATCTTCACCTGGTGCTGACCAAAGTTTGAACTTCTTTGCCCTTTTCTCCACAATTTCTGCTGTTACTACAAGTTCTCTCATTTCATCTTCTTCTTTTATTCTCATCCATCTCCTTTATTCAAACTGCATTCTTATTATATTTCTTTTAGTTGTCTCATAGCTGCACCCAGTACTGTACTGTTTCTTTTGTTAACTAGTTCCTTAAAATCTCTTCATTGACAGATTGGTAGAAATGTTTCTGATCTTACTGAAATAGGAGATTTTTGCCTATACTGTGCAATTTAATCTTTATATCTGCTGCTTTTCTTGGCTATGGCAATTATTTGCTGCTTTATTATTTCCAGTGCCTTCTTGATCTTCTTTGTTTCTAGATGATATTTCTTCATTAGGTTTTTTTTTTTGTCTTCTTGTTGTGCAGCTTCTTTTCCTTCCTCTGTTCTAGCTTGCTTGCATCTGATCTTAGCATGCCAAACATGTTTTCCAACCTGATTCCATTTTTGGGCTTTTAAAAAAATGTGTTTATTGACTTTGCATCCAAGGTATTCAGTTATAATTCCAGGCATATTGTACATTAGTTGGTTGGTTTCTTGCAGTGGTGCTTATTTTTGATATTACAGTATTGGCATCTTTTAGAACTTGTGCTAGTTGTTCCTTTGGAACAATGTAAGCAATCTTATTCTGTTATTTTTGTAATGTTATAATACTCAAGGGGGAGGATTTCAGTTCCTTTTGCTTTTTAGTTAGGAGGCTTTATGCTTTCTGGGGAAAAGGGAGAGGAAAGAGAACTTGATTTGGGAATGAAAACAGTTCAATAGGTGTACTAGCTTCCTCTACTGCTGACTTTGCCTCTACAGTCTGAATTATTTGTGGCAAGGCTTCAATTTCTTTGTTCTGAGGAGACTTTTTTAGTTCTTCCAGTTTTACTTCTGTGAATACTTTATTTCATATTATACACCTGTGATGATTCACTAGCCTTTTTCCTGTTAACTCTGATATAGATTTGTGGGCTTGATATGAAATAGCAGATCATTATTTCTTTGTTTTCAATCTTTGTATATTTGTAAAAGGTAAACACCTTTTCTTCCAATAGTCCTACAGCTACTGGCCCTGGTTGCTCAGCCAACAGTCTGTAGTTCTAATGTTCTTGACTATGATTATGATCTTTTTTGACCTGGGAGACAATCAATATGGCATAGGTTTCTCTATATTATGTCTCACCATATTGTTTACACTTTTTAATCTGACTTCTATGATGACACTTGGTCAGTATGGATGAATCTCTAGTATAGCTTTCATCCTGCTCAGAGTACACAAGCCCCACAACCACATCAAGTTATTGCCTCACTGATAAAATATTCCTGAAAAGTACAACATAAAGAGTAACAATTAAATGATATATTTATGTTCATATAGTTTTCATATACATAACTAGAGACAATTTGATATAGTGGTTATAGTGGTATATGAGTTCTAATCCTGGATTCGTAACCTTCTTTCAGACCTAGGAAAATGGCAATAGAAAACTATTTCTTTTGTTAAGAAAACTTCAGGAATTTGTGCAAGCAGTTGGCAGAAATCAGGAATGACTTGAAGGCACACATATACCTACCGAAAAAAGTATTATGTATGGATACACATCTAGAAGTCATAACTATGATTTAACTGGAAAAACCCTACTAGTCACCATTGTGGGAAAACCTGAATAACTTCAAGGTTCCTTTGAAGTTTTCCCTGCTTCAGATTCAATATCTTTTAATTGGCTGTTGAAATAGAGAACATTTTCAAATTATTATTTGCAGATTAGAATATATAGTTCAATTTTTGGACAGGTTTTATTCTCTCTGGAATATTAAGGACCCAAATGCAAACTCCATCCAGTTGCATAAAAGTAGAAGATCCTCAATAAAGAGTTGAGGACAAATTTCTTAAACTTGGCCAGTGTTGAAATTTGTAAGTAACTTAAAGATGAAGACATCTAACTTGCTTTCTGAAAATAAGAAAGACCTGGAGGTATTCCTAGTTGAGTGTTATGTACATTTCACAGGTCACAGCACATGAATCACTTTTGGAGCAATGCCTCCTAGGCTGCTAATGGCAGGAAATGAAACATTCAGCTGATTGTAGCATGAACAGCAAACTCACAGTGAGTAGGGATGTGACTATATTTGAACCCCAAAATAGTAGCTTTGTATTTGCCTTGAATTGCGGCCAGGTGCCAATTCCAATTCATCTCCTTGGGAAAGAACATAAGATTGTGAATGTTAAAATCCCAAATGAAACCCAAATTCATATTAGGAGCTTACAATACAAAGGACATGTTTGTATGAAGACAATATAAAAATTTCACTTGATCCAGACAAGAGTTTTGGGCACAACATGGTTTGCCACTAATATACCACTGCTGTGCAAGCTTCTTGAGTTTGAGTTTGAGTTTCATTTTATTTATATGCTGCCCTATTCCCTGCGGGACTCAGGGTGGCGCACAAACCCAAGGAGGGAAAGGGAAACACAAAACTACAAATATAAGGCATTTAAAAACAACCAACAGCCACACGATTCGAGGGAAGGGAACTCACCAACCCCAGGCCTGCCGACACAGCCAGGTTTTAACGGCTTTTCGGAAGGCCTGGAGAGAGGTGAGGGTCTGAATCTCTGTGGGGAGTTCATTCCAAAGGGCCAGAGCTGCCACAGAGAAGGCCCTCCCCCGGGTAATAGCCAGATGACATTGGCTGGTAGACGGGACCCGGAGGAGGCCTGCCCTGTGTGATCTAATGGGTCTTTGGGAGGTGATTGGCAGCAGGCAGTCTCTCAAGTACCCAGATCCAATACCATGAAGGGCTTTATAAGTGACGACTAGCACCTTGAAGCGTATCTGGAGACCATTCGGTAACCAGTGCAGCTCACGGAGGATAGGTGTAACGTGGGTGTACCGAGGTGCACCCACGATCGCTCACGCAGCTGCATTCTGGATGAGCTGAAGTCTCCGAATGCTCTTCAAGGGCTGCCCCATGTAGAGCGCATTGCAGTAGTCCAGTCTTGAGGTCACAAGGACATGAGTGACTGTTGCGAGTGCCTCCCGGTTCAGGTAGGGACGCAATTGGTGTACCAGGCGAACCTGGCCAAATGCCCCCCTGGTCACAGCCGACAAATGATGTTCTAAGGTCAGCTGTGGGTCCAAAAGGACTCCCAAATTGCGAACCCTGTCTGAGGGGCGTAAAATTTCACCCCCCAGCCTGAGTGATGGAACACTTGCCAAATTTTTGGAAGGGAAACATAACAGCCACTCGGTCTTGTCTGGATTGAGCGCAAGCTTGTTAACCCCCATCCAGACCC